AATCCTTATATGATCACAAAAGAGAAACGAAAAAGAAGAAAAAAGTATTGATGTGATGGAAAATATTATTTTATTGAAGAATGTGTGGTTGAAAATGAGTATTGATTTACTGTAAAAAATGAGAATCTGTATCAAATAGACCCTTGATTTGGTTGTACTTTGTTATCTGTATGAAGCATATATATAATCACCAGTTTCTTGTTCCTGAAAGGTTTTAGATTGAAATATTTTACGTGCATCTATCTGCAGGCTGCCTTACATGGTCTATGTGAAGATCTCAATATTCCATTTCAAGCTTCTATGCTGAAGTAAGAACAAACTATTCCAGAATGTAAAAACCTCCGGGTGTGCGTAAGATCTTCCTGATTAATTGATTGTCATCTTAAGTGAATTGCACTGGTATCCTAGTTTTACAATTAATCATATGTCGTGTAAGAATCTTTCTATTGGACAACCTATAAGAATCTAATTTTCTCATGATAATGTTTGAACAAGTGGTGGTTGAGTCAGAAGAGTTTGAGAATGAAAGACAATTTGTCTCACATTCAAAACTCAAGATATTCATTTCTAGTCAAATATTGAGTATTGATGTTATCATGATACTTTTCTAAGCAAATCTCATTGTTATTAACTTGTTATTATGAAGAATTCAGTACTTCGTCGTGCATAAAAAGAAAAAGATGAACTGTTGACAATGTCATACTGTATCACCATTATTTTCTTTAGAAAATCTCGCTGTAGAGTCTGACGATGAATATCCTCATTATACCCTTGCAAGTTGTGCTCATGGTATTACTTCTATTTCTCCTAAATGCCAGAATTTATGAACTGCTCAATCATATTATGCCATTCTTATACATAAATATATTTATTTACCTGTACAGTTAGATTTGGATATTAAATTGTTTGTTATGGGGAAGACTTGTTAGTTACCGGCTCTCCAAATGTGATTGTGCTATTTGTTTCAAACTATACAATTGGAAGTGTTGTGATTACTTTCACCAAATTTATCCATGGATGCTGAACGATCTGTGTGTGTTGACTCACGGATAATGATATTTTCACCATTTCTCTCCGTTGGTTGCTATTCCAGAGTTCTTGGCTTTTTTTACATGCCTTGAGTTGACTATCTTCCAGTATCACTGTTATCATTTCTTTTTAGAAGAACGTTTCAATGAGTCATGGAGAATAATGGGGAATGAGAAGGAATTAAATGTTGGACCAATAATTTTTTTATTTTCCCTCAAATTTGCAGCCCCCCAGTGTGTGCATGAATTTTATCTTTCTATTTTCAGATGGGAAGCTGGGCCAAAATCAGTTGATGGGATTTGGGCTCCCTGGTGGTATAAAAGGGTACATAACTCAACAGCTTTTGCACCACCAAGAAAGTATCCTTCGGTATGTAAAAGAAAAATTAGCATATCCTTCATTTTGCCTATTATGTAATCAACATTTTTTTACAGACTGATGAACATGCTGATTCCACTCATTCAAATTTAGAGTTTGAACTGAGTCACCGAGACAAATTTTTCTATTGAGTAAATCATGTGAATTGTGATTACAGTAATCTGAGTAATGTGTATTGAAGAAAAAATCAGTATAATGGGTCTTTATTCATGGGAAAAATAGCTGTAGTTTATTGATTCATTTATTGTATAGTTGACCTCATTAGCATAATTAGAGAAGACGTGTTAGGGAATAATTAGAGGAATGATGTTAGGGCATAATTAGAGGAGACATGTTAGGACATAATTAGAGGATATATTTATGAAGTTGTCTGGTTTTCTTTCCTATATATTTTTGTTATAACTTTTATAATTTATCAATGGAATATATGAAATTCCATGCCATCAAAGCAAGTCTCATGCTAATTTGTTTTGCGGCTTAAATTGCCAAAATTTTGGTCTTCTTACAGGCTGGTTTGTTCTTGAATTTTGTTCTTAATTGCTGAAATGAAGTTTCAGGATGATTAAGAGTATTTTAACCTATTTTCAAGTCAATCCAGCACATTACAAAGCAGCTAAGCCTTTTTTCAGGCTAGTTCAGCACTTTTCAATCTGGTTCAGCTT